CCCCCCTCTCTCTCCCTCACACCCCCGCCTCCTCCTCCCCTTCTTGGCTCCCTTCTCTCTTTTGCAACCGCCGACGGTCGACGTCACGCACCCCAACCCGGCAATGTACGGCTGCAATAGCTCGCCGGCTAACATCGTCACCTCTCGAGAAGCTCACACAGGCGTTCCGTCTCGACCGCCGCCCTCAACCTGCTCCGACGAAGGGACGCGACACGCGACGACGATTGCGTCAACGAGGACACGACGTCACAGAACAGCTCTAGGTACCCCGTCGCCCCCATGTCCAACCACAACCGGACGCAGAGCAGCATGGGCCCACCCCAGTCCTCGTCGGCTGCCCTGAGCAGGACGCCCTCGGGCGCCGCCGCTTCGATCGGCGCCGCCGCTTCCGCCACCGGCAGCGGCTCCCTCAAGCCTGCCCAGAGCCACGACAAGGGCCCCAGCCTCGAGCAGTCGGTCAAGAAGTTCCGCGTCGTCGAGGCCCTGCGCAGCGGCGACACGGCCTCCATCTCGAAGATCATACGCGAGTCCGTGCCGACCGACATCGGCGGCCGCAGGATGAGCGCTTCGTCCATGGCCGGTCCGGGCCTGGAGGACACCACCATCCTGCACCTGGCCATCCAGTGCGCCGAATTCCCCGTCGTCGAGTACGTCCTGTCCGACGGCCAGAACACGCTCGACATCAACGCCCGCGATAAGGACGGCGACACCCCGCTGCACGTCGCCGCCGCGCAGGGCCGAACCCCCGTCGTCAAGCTGCTGCTCGAGCAGAGCGGCATCAACGACGCCGTCGTCAACGCCCACGGCAAGCTGCCCATCGACCTGGCCCGCAACCCCGAGATCTTCCAGCTGCTCCAGCTGTCACGCTCGCTCTACACCGAGTCCAAGGTGAAGCAGGTCCAGGACATCATCGCAAGGGCCGACTACGACACCCTCGCCCACGTCCTCGAGGAGCCGCGCTTCAAGACGGTCGTCGACATCAACAGCCCCGAGTTCGCCTCGGACCCCACCACCGTCAGCACCGGCGGCACCCTGCTGCACGAGGCCGCCCGCCGGAGGAACATCAAGCTCATCCAGACCCTCCTGCTCCACGGCGCCGACCCCTTCCAGCGCGACCGCAAGGGCAAGCTGCCCCAGTCCGTCACCAACGACGACGGCGTCAAGTCCATCCTCAAGAAGTCCCCCGCCGCCGTCGCCGCCCAGAGGGGCATCCAGGAGAAGGCCGTGCTGGGCCAGGCCGCCTCCCAGGGCGCCTTCGCCAGCGCCGCCGGAGACCCTCTCGCCGGCCGCGAGTCGCGCGAGATGAAGGGCTACCTGAAGAAGTGGACCAACTACCGCAAGGGATACCAGCTGCGCTGGTTCGTGCTCGAGGACGGCGTCCTCAGCTACTACAAGCACCAGGACGACGCCGGGTCGGCGTGCCGCGGCGCCATCAACATGCGCATCGCCAAGCTGCACATGACGCCGGACGAGAAGACCAAGTTCGAGATCCTCGGCAAGTCGTCGGTCAAGTACACGCTCAAGGCCAACCACGAGGTCGAGGCCAAGAGGTGGTACTGGTCCCTCAACAACTCGATACGCTGGACAAAGGACCAGGCCGAGGAGGAGGACCGCCAGGCCGCCCGCAACGCCGAGCTGCTCAAGCAGGCCAAGGCCGAGCACGGCGGCGGCGGCAGCCCCGGCGGCGCCGCGTCGCTGTCGGTCCAGGACACGCACAGCGACAACGGCAGCTCGCCGCTGCCCAGCCGGCACCACTCGGCCGTCAAGCTCTCGGCCCAGCCGAGGGCCGAGCAGGCGGGCGTCAGCACCGCCGGCAGCGCCGACGACGACTACTACTACGCCGATGCGGGGACGGATGCCGGCACCTCGCGGTTCCACGGCCACCTCGGCAACCACAACGGCGACGGCCCCGTCATCCCCGGCGATCCCGACGACGACGACGACTACGGCGACGACGTGAGCGTGCGGGAGGAGCCGTCGGCGACGCGCGACGCGCTCAACATCACCGCCCAGTCGGCCAAGATCCAGCTCGAGACCATGTCGCAGGTGCACGCGGCCCTGATGGGCATGACGACCAGGACGCCGGCGACGCCCATCTCGGACACCAAGGTGTCGCAGGCCCTGGGGACGTACGACGGCGCGATGCGCAGCCTGTCGGGCCTGATCGGCGACCTCCTCCGCATCTCCAAGGACCGCGACGCGTACTGGCAGTACCGGCTGGAGCGCGAGACGAGCATGCGGCGCATGTGGGAGGAGAGCATGGCCCAGGTGGCCCAGGAGCAGGAGGAGCTCCAGGCGCGGTACGGCGAGGCCGAGGAGAAGCGCAAGCTGGCCAAGAAGGCCCTCCGAGAGATCCTGGAGAGCAGGGGCGAGGCTATCCCGTCGGAGAAGAAGCTCGACGAGATGGTCGACCAGGGCGAGGCCGACAAGAAGAGCCAGCACAGCCAGAGCCAGGGCAACGACGCGAAGAGCTTCGTCAGCACCCGCAGCAAGCCCACGGCTCTCCAGCAGATGGCCGACATCTCGGAGGACGATTCCGAGGGCGACGACGACGAGTTCTTCGACGCCGTGGACAACGGAGAGGTCAAGATCTCGCAGATGCCGCCCAGCCAGGACGTCGGCGGGCAGGGCGTCGTCATCTCGGGCGGCGTGGACATCAGCTCCTCGTTCAAGGGATACGAGAATGGCGTGCGGACCAGGCTCAAGATGGATGCGGACAACCGACCCAAGGTGTCGCTCTGGGTGAGTGCACTCTCCTACCCTCTGCTCATCGGCTCTCCTCCTTCTCCTTCTCCTGCACACACGTGACACTACGAACACTGCATACTCTTTTCCTAAAAGTTCCCACCAAACCCCCCCCCCCCTAAAAAAAAAAAACAATACCCCCTTCCAGCGGATATATACTGACAAGGCACCCACCATCTGACAGGGCATCCTCAAATCCATGATCGGTAAAGACATGACCAAGATGACTCTGCCCGTCTCGTTCAACGAACCCACCTCCCTCCTCTACCGATGCGGAGAGGACATGGAGTACGCGGATCTGCTGGATCAGGCGGCGGACCGGCCCGACTCGATCGAGCGGCTGGTGTACGTTGCCGCGTTCGCGGCGAGCGAGTACGCGTCGACGGTGGGGCGTATCGCCAAGCCCTTCAACCCGCTGCTGGGCGAGACGTTTGAGTACGTGCGTCCGGACAAGAACTACCGCTTCTTCATCGAGCAGGTGAGCCACCACCCGCCGGTCGGGGCAGCGTGGGCCGAGTCGCCGCAGTGGACGTACTGGGGCGAGTCCAACGTCAAGTCCAAGTTCTACGGCAAGTCGTTCGACATCAACCCGCTGGGCACGTGGTTCCTCAAGCTGCGGCCCAAGTCCGGGGGCAAGGAGGAGCTGTACACGTGGAAGAAGGTGACGTCGTCGGTGATCGGCATCATCACCGGCAACCCGACGGTGGACAACTACGGGCCGATGGAGGTGAAGAACTGGAACACGGGCGAGGTGGCGCTGCTCGACTTCAAGCCGCGCGGGTGGAAGGCCAGCAGCGCGTACCAGCTGTCCGGCAAGGTCACGGACGCGAGCGGGCGTGTGCGGGTCAGCATGGGTGGACGGTGGAACTCGAAGATCTACGCGCGGGTGACGAACGGCTACGAGGCAGCCGTGGACGAGTCGGCGGCTTCCTCGTCGGCGACGCAGATCCAGCACCGCGGCGGCCTGGCGGACCCCAACGAGGTGTACCTGGTGTGGCAGGCCAACGAGCGGCCGGCAGGCATACCCTTCAACCTGACGCCCTTCGTCCTCACCTTCAACCACATCGACGACAAGCTGCGTCCCTGGCTGGCGCCGACGGACTCGCGTCTGCGGCCGGACCAGCGCGCCATGGAGGAAGGGGAGTACGACTTTGCGGCCACGGAGAAGAACAGGCTCGAGGAGGCGCAGAGGGCGCGCCGTCGCGACAGGGAGTTGAAGGGAGAGGAGTTCCGGCCGGCATGGTTCACGAGGGCCCGCTGCGAGGTGTCGGGTCAGGACTACTGGAAGTTCAATGGCAAGTATTGGGAGCAGAGGGACAAGGCGGGGCCGGACGGGGACGGGCATGCCTGGGATGGACTGGAGGCAATATTCGACGAGAGGGGTGCGGAGAACGCGCCGCCGCCGACGCCGTAGACTTTTTCCCCCTCTGCTCCCCCCCTCCCTTCCCCCCTCCGGACTACTGCTTCTACTACTACTACTACTGCTTCTACTACTACTACTACTACTACTACTACTACTACTACTACTACTACTACTACTACTTGTTATTCCATCTCTATTCGATTCGTCAATCATCGTCCGTCGCCCCGTCACTGCGTCGATCCAGCTGGGCTCTGCTACTGTCTTGGGGTTGACTGTCACGATGCCTCGTCTGCGCTGTCTATCGGGACGAATTCTTCCACTGGTCTGGTGGGAATTCGATGAACGGGATCGATCAGGTCATCGCCTGCGGTGATGGCGTGTTGCAGAGTGAAGGAATCGTCAGGAGCTTGGGGATCTCTGGGTATCGTGCCAGGACGAGGCCCAACCAAGACATGTGATGATGGCCGATGGGTTGGGACATGTGAATGTTTAAGGGGGTGGTAGCATGACGTAATACAAGGGATATATAACCAAGTATCATCATGCCAAAACGAGTCATTTTGGAGGATGAGTAAGGAAAAAATAAAATAATAAAAATAGTGGGAGTACCCTCTCGTAGTAATGATACTCGTAAGTGATAATACTCGTAGTAAGTAATATTAGCATGATAATGATAGTAAACAGTACAGATTACATGTATCCGTAATACTACGTATCCTCAGTCCTCGACTCTTATCGTACAGGCAAAGAAAAGGAAGAAGGAAAAACAGAGAGGCTCGATTTATGGGTCTCCATGTCTATTTATGACAGCGTCCCTCGGCCCTGTCCCGAGCCTCGGTTCATCTTCTGAGCAGGGGTAATTCCTCCCTTTGAATGTCCACAACGTTCCTGCCCAACCCAACGAGACAACTCATCTCTCTCTCTCCTCCTCTCCTGGTCTCTCTTCATTCTCATCTTTATCTTTACATATACATATACATATACACGCATATATATCTTACCCGATCAGGAGACGGGAAGAAGAAGAGCACGACGCCGCCATGTCCGAAGAAAAAACCACTCTACTCCGTCCACCGGCGCCGGACGCGTCCAAGGCGCCGATCGAGAACACTCTGGAGGTGACGGAGCTGGCGGTGCTGGGGCCGGACCTGTTCACCAACACGCGGCAGCCGTGGCTCCCGCACGGGGCGCGCGGGATCTACGGCGGCGCGGTGATAGCGCAGAGCCTGGCGTCGGCGCAGAAGACGGTGCCAGAGGGCTTCCTGCCGCACTCGTGCCACTGCTACTTCCTGCTCGCCGGGTCCGCGTCGGTGCCGATCCTGTTCCACGTGGAGCGGGTGCGCGACGGGCGGTCATTCGCGACGCGCACGGTGCAGGCGCGGCAGAGGGGCCGATGCATCTTCACGACGACCATCAGCTTCGCGCGCGACGAAGGCGAGTCCGACGACGACGAGTCCAACGACGAGGGCGGCAAAGCCGGGAGGCAGGTGGTACGCCACGCGGCGCCGATGCCGGAAGGGGTGGCGGCCACGCGTCCCCCCGACGACCTGGTCGACGGGCTGTCGGGCGGCGGGCCGGTGCAGAACACGGACGTCGAGGTGGTCCGCCGGGACGACGACGCGGCCTGCCCGCACGAGCGCGTGAGCAGGACCTGGATGCGCGCCAGGGGCAAGATCAGCCCCGAGGGCGGGATCCAGGCCCACCTCAACGCGCTGGCGTACATGTCGGACAGCTACTTCATCGGGACGGTGTCGCGCGCCCACCGGCTGTGGAGGTTCATCGCCGTGCCGGCCGAGGCGTCGGGCAGCCTGACGGACAGCGAGGGCCGTCTGCTGCGCAGGGAGATGCGGAAGGAGGGCATGGGCGACGACCCGGTCAGGTGGCAGGGCAGGCCGGCCGTCGGCATGATCGTCAGCCTCGACCACAGCATCTACTTCCACGAGCCGAGGCGGGTCATGGCCGACCAGTGGATGTTTTGCGAGATGGAGACGCCCTGGTCCGGCCAGCAGAGGGGAGTGGTCAGCCAGAGGATCTTTGCTGCGGACGGGACGCTGCTGGCCAGCTGTTATCAGGAGGTAAGCTCTTCCTCTCCTCTCCTCTTCTTTCTTCTCCTTTCCTCTTCTCGCTGATCTCTCCCATCCCCTCCTCCATTACTATATATATATATATATATATATATATATATACTGACAAAAGAAATAGGGCGTTATCCGACTTAGGCAGGATGGAAAGGAGAAGAGCGCCAAGCTGTAAAATTATGTCATACAATCGATCTCATATATATAGAAGGACGGGTTGGACGAAGGAACAAGGAAATGTCTTGGATGGACTGAAGAGGAAAAGTTTGATATTATTTATCATTTATAGAAGAAGAGGAAGAGGAAGAACAGAGCGAGATAAAACAACGCGATGGCATCCATGCATGTCAGATGAAAAGCAGCCGTGTCTTGTCGTCTGGGATGGTATGTCTCGGAGTGAATGCCGGGGCAGCGAGGTGTGCTAAAGAGTATAATAGAAAGAAGTACGATGATGGAATTCAATTTTTTTTTATATCAGCTTCCATCGTCGCCATTTCATCTTACTGTCTCGTATTGAGAAGAGAGAGAGAGAGACGGAAGCGCGCGCGCGCGCGAGAGAGAGAGAGAGAGAGAGAGAGAGAGAGAGACAGAGATAGCGTTGGTAATTGTCTGCCCTGAATAATGCACCGTCTTTAGGGACACCCCGGGGCTGGGATGGAGACGGGGGGGGAATGGGAAAGAAGAGAAAAGAAAAGAAAAAAGAGAAGGAGAGAAAAGAAGAAAAGAAAAGAGGAAAAGAAAAGAAAGGCATGGGAACAGACATGTCATCGTTCCTGGTGGCTGTGAGACAGCAGGATGGAATGATCTGGGGGGAGGAGGAGAGGATTCTCGATCAATATCAGTAGATGGAGTGTCAGTAGATGAGCGCCAAGCAGGGACGAGTATGTCTTGTCTAATTGAATATACGCTTTTCAATGCAAATGCAAAATGCAAAATGCAATGATGGGCAGATAAACTAAACTGTACGAGGCGGAGAAGTAACGATACTTGTACAAGTCACAAGGCTGTGTGTGTGTGTGTGTGTGTGTGTGTGTGTGACTTACATGGCTGTGACTGTGGCTGTGGCTGTGACTGTGGCTGACCCAGAGCAGATAGATGATGGCTGCCGCTTGTCAGAGCACTCTCTCCATCAGCCGTTCGAGTGCAGGGAGCGACGCCACCAGATGATGAACCGCCCAACGCCCAACGTCTGGGCTGCAGGGGGGTTGACAGCGACGCCATCAGACACGATGCATTACCGTGATGAGCAGCGCTGCATGGAGGGAGGAGTACTTGCGCGTCGTATCGAGGCTTCCGGGCTTCCCACGTATTGACGTTGATATAGTATAGAGTATTCCATGCATATCGGGCATATACTCCGTACTAAATCTGTACATAAACGTAATCGGTACGGGAGTGCCTCGATGCCCCCCTTCCTAGCGTCTCACTCCCTGTCAGTGTCGCTCCTTCCCACGTTGCGCCTTCCGCGATGTCAACGAGGTCGCTTATTGACGAGACTCTGTATTGCTACGTAATCATCTTCCTTCTCCTTCTTTCCTCCCCCCCTGTTTATTCTCTCCCATCCTCTCTCCCTTTTCCCCTCCTTCTCCTCTCGACACACTGCCATGTACCGGCTGGCCGGATGGTCATGGTGGGAATTCAATCATCACCACATCATTTCTCGTCCTCCTGCTCCCAAGATACCTTCGGACACCAGAGGTCCATCTGCCTTTACTCGTACGATATCAACTGTTACGGACACGCCCTCGCCCAGCGTCCGCCTCGCTCAGCCTTCTCCATAATCACGGTCTCCATCAGCTCCTCCCACCTGCCGCTCCGTCCCATCCTTGCAGCCTACGGCAGTCAAGATCTGGAAGGGAAGGCTCGAGGGTACGTATCGTTGTTACATGACAGACAAATCTGGAAATCTGCATTCCCCATCACCCCCAGCCTCCGTGTCGCTCCGCGTCACTCACCAATATCCTTGTCGACCCGTCAAAAAAGGTCGACCCTGGTAACTCGTACTGTTCGCATGCCAGTATCTCAGTACACGATAATACTCCATCAGGACCACTACTCCACCGTCAACCCCCAGCCTACCGACTCAAGCCCCATCGCCAAGCAAATCGCTAAGCCATCCATGATCATCTTTTTACCACTCACTATAATAACAACACTCCATACTCCCCATATTACTCCTCCTTATTGACGTGCTCAGCCGTCTCTCGGTTCCTCTGCAGACTCGTAAAGAGAACGGGGGATACTACACAGCCCCCGGCATTTCTCTTATTTCTCTTCTTCACCTTTTATTCCCCGTATTCCTTTCTTCTTTCCCTTTTTCTTCTTTTTTTTTTTTAACCTTGTTTCCTTCCTTCTCTCTTTCTTCAAGGATTCTCCTAATTCATCGCTTGCATCCATCACTGCATTCCACCCCCCCCCCCCTCTTGCTTCGCTCGCTCACTCGCCCACCCACCCATCAGTCGCATGCGAAACCCGCCAGCATCACCCAACCCCGTACGCGAGCCCCGGCTTCTCCGGTGACCCGACGCACTACACTTGCTAGTCGTAGAAACTACGTACACATCATAGGGCCAGCCGTTTCGGCCTCTTCCCTACTGACATGCGATCCACGCCCCTCCTGGCCCTGGCTGCCACTACCTTGGCCGGGCACGTCGCCGTCCCCATCACCCGCCACCGGCTCTCCCCCCCTCACAGCTCCAACTCGCGAAGGGACGATGACGGCCGGGTCGAATTGGAAGCGCTGAACAACATCACCGGCGGTGGCTACTACGCCGAGTTCAAGGTCGGCACTCCACCTCAGTCTATCAGCTTTCAGCTTGACACCGGAAGCAGCGACACCTGGGTCAACTCGGTCAACTCGGACCTCTGCACGAATGCTGCAAAACAACGCAGCCATGGCTTCTGCATGACTCCATGTGAGTCTCTCAGTCTTCTCCCCCGCCTCACTCGTATTCCGATATAATAGAGGCTAATGTTTATATGGAAACAAACAGTCAACTCTAATGAGAGCGAAACATTTGCATTAGTGGACCGCGGCGGTTTCGACATCACCTACCTAGATGGCCGCAACATCAAAGGCTCCTACTTCAACGATACCATCACCATCGGCAATGACAAGATCGAGAACCAGCAACTCGGTCTCGCCTCAGAGAGCGTCCGGCCCACGGGGCTCATGGGTCTCGGCTTCAGCGCAAACGTCGCCGCTACGATACAGTATCCCACTGTCGTCGACAACATGGCCAGCCAGGGGCTCATAGATACGCGCGCTTTCAGTCTGTATCTGGTAGGTCATCTCTCTCATCCCTTCTTCTTCCACCCGGAAGCTCCGGATGCGGGTAGGTCCGGGGTTCGGAGACGTCGAGAGCAGCGAGGCACGAAGAATCAGAAGAGAGAAAGAACGAGCAAGAGTGATAGGAGGAGGAAGGAGGAGGGGGAGTCAAGTAAGGAGAAGAAGATGAGAAAAGAGAAGAAGCCTGACGCGTCCCATCCCAGAATGACCTAGAAGCCAACTCGGGAACGATCCTGTTTGGCGCCATCGACAGCCAAAAGTACATTGGCGACCTGGCGGTGCTCCCGATGTCCCGCGAGGCGGACAGCGCGTCGGCGAACATCACGCTGTACAGCGTACGCATCTCGGGCTTCGACCTGAAGGACTCTGACGGCGAAAAGTCCATCGACATACCCGACCTCGACTCCCTGGCCCTCCTGGACACCGGGTCGACCATTTCGCTTCTGCCGGAGGACCAGGTCAAGAAGCTGTGGGAGAAGTTTAACGTGGTGGCCGTCCAGGGGTCGCTGACACCGTACATCGACTGCGCGTTCCGCGGTGAGAAGGGAACGGGCTACGTCTTCGATTTCGTCTTTGACGGCAAGACGATTCAGGTGCCGATCGAAGAGATGGTTGTCGACGCCTTCGCCGACGTCCGGGACCTGTTCAAGCAGTACCTCGAGGTCAACGAAGGCCTCGGGGACGTCATCGGCGACTGGGAGGGTGTGTGCATGTTCGGCATCGGGTCCACCTCCGACTTCGACATCCAGTTCACCCTGCTGGGCGACACCTTCCTCCGTTCCGCCTACGTCGTCTACGACCTGGACAATGAGCGTATCGCCATCGCCCAGGCCAACCTCAACTCGTCCGACACTAATATCGTCGACATAGCTGCTGGTGATCTGCCCAATATCACCGGTGTCAAGAGTGAGTCTTGTTCCCCCTTCTCTTCTCTCTTTTCCCCTCCCCCCCCCCCTCTCTCTGAAGCGAAAGTATCCTGACCGATTCAAAAAAAAAAAAAAAGGCCAAGAAGCCAACAGCGACAATGATGATAGTGCCGTCGGCCGCATATCGCCTCCCGTCATGACCATTACATTACTCGTGGCTCTCTGTGCCGCCATGATGACGCTATAGATTTGATTCCGTCTCTTTTTGCCTCTCCTCCTTTCCTTTTTTTTTTTTTTTCATTTTTACTTTCTTCTTTTGTTCCATTACTTATACTATTATTTGCATCTGAGCTTGGTATGGCACATCTGGCATTTTTCCACATTCTATATATATATATGTATATTCGTTTCTTATGTATATTTTGCGCCTTGGGCTCGATCATATTTCATATCTGTTTCTGTTTGTTTGTTGGTGACTCAAGGCATAGGCGTACCCTGTTTTTTTTTTCTTTTCTTTTTTTCTTCTCCTTTTTGATCTCCCTTGGAATGAAGGGTCAAGTTTATTTTTCATGTTATATAAAAGCAATGGCATGGAATGACTGCTTCTTGTGTCCCTCTTTGCTCTCATTTTTTTTAGTTCATTCTCAAATGTCATCATGAGACTCATCCTTGACCTCTTTGAAAACATGACCGAGTATATATGGTATGCTACTGATTCATCTGGGGGAAGGGGGGAAGAAAAAAAAGAAAAGCATGTAGAGTAAGACTGATTCTATTGACGACGTGTTTTATACAAAAGCCCCTCCCCAACCTTCCCCCCTTATCCTCCCAGCTTCTTATACCTATCCCTCGCCTTATCCTGCGCACTGGCAAGATAATCCGCATAGCTGCCACTGCTCTTTGTATTCCGTTCCGCCACCTCAGCCGCATCGCCAAGCTTGCCTCCCTCGGCGCCCAGACCGACACCCTCCTGGTAGGCGTGCGTCTCTACAATGTCGGTGCGTCCCTCGCCCTTGGCTCCGAGCCCGGCACCTGCTGACCAGCCCATCTTGGCTAGCATGCCTGCTCCCTTGGACGGTGCCGGTGCTGGTGCCGCTGGAGGTGGGGGAGGGGTGCCGGTGCCGGTGCCGTCGGTCTGCTTGGACGAGAGCTTCCTGGGCTGGTTGTACACTTGACGTCTCTCCTTGGCTCGATCGCGGTATTGCTGCGCATCGGCATCGGCAGCAGCAGCAGCAGCAGCAGCAGCAGCATCTACTGCTGCCGTCGTCGTTGACTCCGTGGTGGCGTCGATGTTGGTGGTCCCTGCCTTTTGTTTCTGCCGCTTATCTCGGGCTGCTAGCCGTGGTAGGGCGGCCTTGACCTGATCCTCGTTCTCGGTGGCCTGCTTGTGGTTGCGCGACTTCTCGTGTATGTCCACCTCTTGGACGGACTTGTACTTGCGCATGCAGATGAGGCACATGAGCCGGTCGCGGTCGACGTAACTCACTGCTCCTGCTGTCGGTGCTCGGTCCTCCTCCGGGGTCTTGGACTCTTCCTGCCGCTGAGACTCGATAGCTGGTGTCGGTCCACCACCGCCAATCCTGGCATTGGAGAGGGAAATCTTGATGGGTACGGGGGGTGGTGGCGGTGCGTCGGCAGCGGAAGAGGTGCCGCCGGCGCCTTGGGCGTGCAGCTCGTCGTGCTTGCGCTGCCACATGGCCATCGTCCCAGCCATGACGACGGGCTTCTTGGCCGCCGTCGTCGCCTGGGTGGCCGGCGCACCATCTGCCTTGCGCTTCTTGGACTTCTTAGCTGCATCGTCCTCGGCCGGTTGCTTGTCGGCGGTCTGGCTATTGGCGCCCGGGGGGGTTTCGGTCACGACACGCTGGCTGGGATACACGCGATAGTCCTTGTACCGGACGCGCAGGGCTGGGTTGAAGAGCGGGTTGAACGACATGCGTTCCGTTTCCGGAGTCAGCTCGCGGTCTTCCGGGAGGAACACGCCCATGTGGATGGTTGATACGTGCACCGTGCATGCGGCCACGGTGAAGGACCGTGAAGCGCGATACTTGGCAACAGCGGCCATCGCGTCCTCGAGAGCCCAAAACTCGGCAAATCCATACTTGAAGGACTCGTCGCTGTGGGCGTTGCGCATGAGGAAAACGCGGTGGAGAGACCCCGGACGCGCACCGTACCCCGAGGGGTTGCCCGTCGGGGCGGTAGATTTGAGCTTTGGTGCTGCACCGTCGGAAGCCGTGTCCTTGACCGGATTTGGCTTCTCCCGCTCCAGACGCTTCATGTCGGCCGCCAGCATGTCCTCGTCGACGAAGCTTGCTAGGGGGTACACCACCAGTATTTGCGAAGGCACGTCGGCAGCGTCGGTCATGCCCGTCAGGCTCTGCTGCCAGTCCGGCGCTACGGGACGTTAGAAGAGGAAGAAGCTGGCGGCTGAAGAGTGGTTCCGTTGACATACCTGACGGGGGCGCACCGCACTCTTTGCACTTTGTGCGCGAGGGGTAGTTGGAGAAGTCACACTGGATCCACGTCAACAACAGAGCCCACGGTTGGTATTGGATGGCAAGACGAGCGTACCGAATGACACGTCCAGTTGCTGCCTGGCTGTACACGAGCGTCGCTCCCATCCTCTCGATTCCGCGCGTAGTGAATATACGCCTGGAAGCGACCGTCGGGAACGTCGTCGGTGGGGTGTGCAAGCTCGAGCTGGATCTCGGGGAAGTGTTCCCTGATGAAGGAGACAGAGCTGTCAACTGAATCAAACTGAACGAATGCGCGTCGGCTTCCTGGAGGCACGTCATATCAATATCGGTGCACCGCAAGTGTGAATTAGCATCATGGGATATCGAACGTACCCTTGGAAGAAGAGATGCGCACATCGAAAGGCGGGAGGTCGGCCGCCATCGAGTCCCTCAGGAGGCTCTCTTGAAGCTGTAAAGGAACGCAGCCGTATTAGTCGAGCAAGTTTTTTTTTTCCTTCGTCTTTTCTTGCCTTGTCTTTCGGCAACGCAGTAGCATCTCGAGTGTGGCTCAAGGGACGGATGCCGCCATTGTGGACAAATGAAGTGCTAGATCCAGGGAACCCGTTTTCATCAAGAACCAGTCTGTGTTCGGGGGAACAAGCAGCTTCTGTTACTCGGGACCGGAGGATTACCAACCTCGCTCGAGGAGACTGAGAAGGGTAGACCCTCCAGGATGACGGTGTCGCTGGGCCTACCAGCCGCGTCTCGAACAGGACTACGCGAGTAGCTGCTGCGGTGATGGCGCCCCCTCGGCGGTGAGCGGCCATCGTCGTCGTCATAGCGATGGCGGTCACGATTGGAGTAAGCGTACTCTTCTTCTTGGCTTCCGCCGCCGCCATCGTCGTCGTACATGCCAGTATAATCGTGTCGGTCCCTCCGATGGCGATGGTGGTAGTAGTTGTTATCGTTGGCGTCCGCATAGGAGTCCCTGTCAGTGTTGTAGCCGTCCCTCTTGTCGTCGTATCGTCTGGCAGGAGACCTGGAGTAGTCTCGACGTCCCGGGGGGAAGTTAGCTAAAAATGACTCTTTTTTCTTCTTCTTGTCTCTTGCAATACATGTGTCTCCACGTGTGTGCCACTGCTTTCCCGCTCTCTCAAAGATCGGCACATGTCCGATCTTATACAGGAAGCATCCTCTTATCTCCAGTCTGGTCCACCGTCTTCCATCAGGCGTGCGGTCATGGTTTACCCTGGCGGGATCGACTATAGCCGTCTATTTGCCCCTGGCCGTCCCATGATCTGTCGTCGGGTCTGGTATCGGGGGCGGGCTGCGATCTGTGGTCGCGCATGGTTTTAGGGTTTCTGTCGAGCAGCGGCGATACGTGTCGCCCCCAGGCGTTGCGGTCTGGAGTCCCAGGAGTAGACAGAAGATGGAAAGGAAAATGCGCTGGGGGTGCTGAGATCCGGAGATACAGTGTGCAGATGGTGCACATGGGAGAGTTGGCCCATGTGACAGAGAGTGAAGATGCAACGCCATAAGGCTGCAGTTGATGACGTAATCAAAATCACCGTCTTCACGTGCGAGAGAGTATTACCATCTCGACAGATGCACATGGGAAACAAGGGAGAGGCAGAAGAATACATGTATTTGAAGATATTTGAAGGTATACATAGTGGAATATGATGATGCCCTATCTTCGTGTGCTGCATGGAGAATACGGACCGCGGAAACTGATACCGTGCAGGTAAAATCCCAGTGCAGTAGAATATCATGACCCGCACACGTCACAGCATGCATCCCAGGCAGACGTCGGCCATCACCCCGCCCCCACCTTGACCAGGCATCTGTTCCTCTGAGGGCATCGCCTCCTCCGCGGGCACCGACGATCACAGCACACGCATCATGAGCCAAGACAGTGTCCAGGGGCCATGGGAACTGTCAGAAGACAGGTGCCACGTCTCTTTGACGCACAACGCCCTCGACGCCAGTAAAGTGATGGACATGGTCCGCAGTCCTGCCGCCGGGGCTATAGTATTGTTTGCAGGTACGGAGTTATGCTCGATCACTATCCCCCCCACACCACTCTCCTCTCCATACCTCTCCATACCTCTCCATCCGGTCTCTGCTCCCTCTGTCCTGTACTGCATCTGCACTATAGAGATACAGTCAGATATCGGGAGAGGTGCACGGGGAGAGAGAGAGAGGGAGAGGGAGGCGAAGAAAGACCTGGCTGATAGACACAGGCACAACAAGGGACAACTTTGACGGTAAACCGGTCAAGGAACTTCAGTACACGGCATACCACCCCCTCGCCCTGCGCACCATGATGACCATCGCGCATAGCCTGACGGACAAGCACGACCTGCGGGGGTTCGCCATGGTCCACAGGCTGGGCACGGTGCCGATCGGTGAGGAGAGCATACTCATCGCCGTGTCGACGCCGCACAGGCAGGCGGCGTGGAGGGCGGGGGAGGAGGCTCTGGAGGAGTGCAAGAGGCGGGTCGAGGTGTGGAAGAGGGAGGAGTTCGAGGGGGAGGGAGGCATATGGAGGGCCAACAGGGATGGGGCAGCAGGGAAGAGGATAGATGAGCACTAGTTGATATCCTCGATGCGTTGGTGCTCCCAGTAATGAACGCGCACTCTTTTTTCACTTTCACTTTCGATTCTTTTCTGTACTCTTATTTATAAGCCAACATGCAAAATCATAGACACCACACTCCCCTTGTGACCGTACTCTTCCCCCCCCCCTCCCCCAACCCCAAACCGCTTCCCAAAGACCGCTTTATTTCGCCGCAACTGATGTACCAAAAAAAAAAAGAAAGACCCTCCGTAGACCGAAGATGAAAATTGAGAGGACAAATATAGTAGAATGAGGAAGCTTTCCGCTCTTCATCTACTCCTGTCGCTGGTACGGTGGCGGCGGTTCCCTGAGGTACTCGAACGGGCAAGGCGGGGGGTGATCCGGGCAGCATCTACCCAGCATGACTATACCATCAACGTCAGTATCACATGTCGCATTGTCTCGAGAACCACGACAGGGAGAACGGAACGCACCGATATGGCTGCTGTAGGCATCTGTAAACGTTATATCCGATCCCACGCCATGCGTGTCAATCGGCTCCGTCAGCGCCGAGGGGTAGACTATGATGCCGAATTCCGTCTGTAGGATCCTCCAAAACTCGGGTGGTAGGCTGTCAGGTCGTAGTCTGTCAGTTTGGATCATCCCATCATCCAGAGGAGACAGAGGAGACATGGAAAGAAAAGGTAGGCGAGAGAGATGGAGGATTGATAAAAGAAGAAGAAAAAGAGTGAACCGTACCTAAACTGCTGGCACCGCAACGATGCATGGACAAACAGACAGACCGTCTCGAGAACAAGACGTCCCTCGTGGATAGCAGCATCCAGCTCGTCCATCCGCAGCTTATACACCTTCTGCAGCCTGTCCCTGGAGGCCTTCATGGCGATGGACCATGATTTGGCGATTTGCCTGAGTTCCTTTTCTCGGCCATCGAGTTCAGCAAAGTCCATCCTGTCTCTTGTCTTTCTCTGGCTTTCTTGTCGGATGACCTAGGTCCGAAACCTCGTTTCTTCCAAGTGTAGGAGAGAGAGAGAGAGAGAGAGAGAATGTGTGTGTGTGCGTGTGTGTGTGTGTGTGTGTGTGTAGCGAGTTCAGTGTGTAGGGAGGAGTGTTGAGGAAGAAGAAGAATTAGAAGAGAAAAAAAACGCAAGAGGAACGACATCAAGGTGAATCACTCATTACATCTCTCTCTCTTCCAGACATCCTCAATTCTTCAATGGCAGGTGGTCCCCTGCCAAAAGGGTTGCAGCTTCTTGACCATCAGGGTTCCCCCCTACTGTTCGCGCACGTTCGTCATTCGATGGGACTTTTCAATGGAGACGTGCCTCGTACTGCTAATACTAGAAAGACGAACTCACATACATTCCGTACCGATATCTGCAGTCTGCAGGGTACTGATCATGATACTTCCATGACCAGCAGTGACTGGTAGTAGACTTGGCACTTTTCCATGTCTCCATATCGCGCAGGTGGGGGCGTTCCGTTCATCAATCGCCAGGGTTGCCTGGTCCGTACGCCAGGATTGGTGATGCCCTCTACCCCTCCCCCCTCCCCCCGCCCCCCGCTTACTCGTATCATTACATTCTCAGCAACCTCACACGACGGATGCATGTCGTATAAACCTCGCAGGGACATGAGAGATATGCGTAAGCATGAGCATCTCTCCGATCTGAACATGCGGTGCTATGCATATACGTATGGTATAAGATGGTAGATGAATCAATAATAGATCGCTTGGTATCATTTCCTTCCCGTCACATTCCTATATCGTTACACGCCATGTATCCATCCCTACAGAGCGTAGTTCTCCGTATGTAGGTAGATCTCCTCGAGCTCGTCATCCCCCCAAATCTCTGCCTGCAACCTAGCAACCGTAGTAGCCACGCCGACCCTCATACCCGGGGGGCCGCATACGAACACCCCCGTCCTGCGTCCGAGTATGCCCCTCCCGTCCGCCCCGCCCGTGGCCCATTCCTTGAGCATGTATCCCAGGTCCGGTCGGCCGTACTCGACGCTCCAGCTGCCGTCTATCTGGTGTGGTATAGGGAAGGCAGAGCGCATCAGGTTCTTCTGGAATTCCGTCGGCGTCTCGGGGAAGCCAAAGTCGAAGCCCGAGGGGGGGCCGAACGTCGATGTCGGTCGAGCGCCCGCCGGGGGTAGGTTGGTCCGCAGGTGGGCTAGCTCCGGGGCCCGGACTGGGAATCCGCCATTCTCCCCCTCTTGCCCTCCTCCCTCTCCGTCCTGGGTCTCCTGGCCTTGCTGCTGCTGCTGCTGCTGCCGCTGTTCGGCTAGGACCTTGGGCGCGCTGTTGAAATGTAGCGGGTTCTCCCTGTGGATAGGAGGGAAGCGGAACTCTGTCCGGTGCTCCTCCACCTCGACCTGCTTCTTGTCGACGGGGTACCCGTTTGGCCCGAGGGGCAGACGGCCCTGCACATCGTCATCCTCCACGGGCGAGATGAGCTTGGCCGGTAGAGGGCCGGCCTGCGGCGCCTGCCCCTGGTGGTGGTGGTGGTGCTGGTGCTGGACCTGCATATAGTCCTGATGGGGGAGGGCCGTGATGCGGTCCTCGTTCTCGGCCCGCAGCTCGCGCTCCCGATCTGGGTCGCCCTGGGCCTCGGCGTATATCATCGCCGAGTTGCGCTTCGACGCCACGCCGGCCACGAAGCCGTCCAGCTTGTCGTGCAGGGCGTGCGTCAGGGCACGGTTCGTCGGCGGCACGCCGGGCGCCGCCGCCGCTGCCGCCGCCGCAGCGTTGGACCCTATCTCCTCACCGGGCCGGTGCCGCACGGCTGAGGTGACAAAGAACTTGCACGTGACGCTCTCCGGGGGCGCGGCGTCGCGGCAGATCCTCAGCTCCTCCCTGAACCAGTCCATGGCTTCCAGGCGCTTCAGGGCCCAGACGACGACGACCTTGCGCGTGATGGCCTTCCCGTCGCGCATGCGCTTGATCAGGTTCAGGAGCTGGGACATGAGGGCGGTGATGCCGCTGCCGCCGGCGATGAGGACGCACGTGTCGAAGGCGGCGAGGTCGCGGCGCATGCCGCCGTAGGGGCCGTCGAGGAAGGCCCGGTAGGTGTGGAAGGGGCCCTTGTCGACGGCCGTCTCCAGGACGCGACGGGTGAAGCCGCCGTAGGGCTTGAAGACGATGATGCAGTCGCGGAACTGCTCGCCGTACTCGGAGGGGAAGTCGTCGCTGCACAGGGACGAGATGGTGAAGGGGTGGTTGTCGAGGAAGGAGATGCCCGGCATGCGCAGGTAGACGTACTGGCCGGGCTTCCAGCGCATCTGGGTGGGGATGGTGATCTTGATGGCGTTCTCGGCCATGAGCGTTATGGCGGCCTCGTCGCCGACCATGAAGGCCATGGGCCGCCAGGGCTTGGTCCAGTTGAGGTTGAAGAAGCGCGCGCAGCAGCACACGGCCCAGACGGCCACGGTGGCGTACAGGTAGCTCCACGACATGAGGTAGTTCTTCGTGTGCCAGAAGAGCAGGCCGACGTAGGCGGCGCCCACGGGCACGTGCAGCAGGACAAAGGCCTCGTAGGCCACGCGGCGGACATACGGCAGCGAGGCCACGCACAGCCAGCACAGGGGGACGAGGCAGGCGATGCCGGTGCCGTAGATGATGCCGCTGCCGCCCGGGAAGAGGCGCTGGAAGACTTCCATGCCGCCGTCGTCCCACACCGGCTGGACGTAGAAGGGCACGCAGTGGACCAGCGTCAGGAACAGGCACAGGTAGCCGAGCCAGCGGTGGAGGACGTTGAGGCGCTCCGGGCCGATGCCCGTGACGACGGTGAGCAGGTTGGCCTTCATGCTGGTGGCGACGATCCACGGCGTCAGCGCCACGGCGATCATGCCGGACCGGATGGCCAGCGGCGGCGACCCGAACTGGATGCTCTGCCAGTAGAGCGGCTGCTGGAGGAAGCAGTACAGCGTGACGAAGACGGTGGCGACGAGGGCGCACGTCAGCACCGCCGGCGAGGAGAAGGTGAGCCTGTACTTGCGGAAGACCAGGTCGGGCAGGGGCCTGTAGAAGACCCACCGGAACAGGGCCAGCGTGTCGTTGACGGGCCCCACGGACGAGAAGTGCGCCTTGGGGCGGAAGGTCTTCTCGGCCGTCGCCGTGGCCGCGCCGTCGCCCGCCATGTCCGGGAAGAAGAACTGGCTGGCCTGGCCGCTGCGCATGGCCATGGCGTAGTCGGCGTCGATATTGTACAGGTTCTGGTAGTGCTCCTCGACCTCTTGCTTGTAGATGGCCTGGCGGATCTTGTCCTGCCAGAAGTGCCAGAAGCGGACGGCCGTCACGCACAGCACGAGGGCCAGGGCAAAGTACGTCCATCCAAGCGCGTACTTGCCCGACTTGGACCACGGGTCGACGGTCAGCGCCTGGACGAGGCCGGGTGGGCTTGTGGGGGTTAGGGGGATGGCGATGCGCTTGGGGAGGCTGATGGCCGCGCTGGCCATGTCCTTTAGATTGGGAGCCATCGTTAAATCTTCCCTTTTCCTTTTCTGTTTCTCGACCAGCGATAGGAAAAGGAATCCGAGGGGTCTTGAGTGCAACGTAGAATCTCGTTGGTTTATATCGTCCTCCGGCGCTCGCTGCCGTTCAAGAAGAGATCAAGCCAGCATGGGCAGAGTTGAAACGACCCAACGGCCGCCGGGGGGGGGGGGGGGGGGGGGGGGGGGGGGGTTGTGATATAGAGCGGATTTGGTCGAGATCGTCTTTGTGGCAAGTCTTCCTCTCTCTTTTTTTAAATTCCCTTTTCAATCGTTCTTTTGAAAAAAAAAAAGGTCCGTTTGCAAATGAATCCTTGGGGCGGACGAGAGCTTGACGCGTGTGTGTGTGTGTCTGTAAGCACCGAAACGAGAGAGCAGTAAGAAGAAGCGACAGTGTAGACTTTGATCCTGCAAAGCGTCGAGAGGAGATAGACTGATGAACTGGGGATACGAACTGGATAGAGGAGTCAAAAAGAAAATATTAATTGAAAAGGGGTTGGAGGGGGGGGAGAAGAAGAATAAGAAGAGAGGCCGCAGGAAGGCTGACCCGCGATAAAGTACTAGCAATCGCATGGCCCATGGAGGCGGGCAAGCTGCTGGGTGTCACCTACGGGAAGAAGAAATGTATTGGGGGGGGGGGATTCAGAGTTGACAGACGCCTCCAGCGGCTGAAGAAGAGTAGAGATTGGCCGAACGAGAGTGCCGAGGACCATCAGTTTGCTCTGCACAGGGGTGCGGGTGCGGATGTACGAGCCTGCATAACCAGACCCAACATGCATCGTCAAGTGGGTGGTGGGAAGGCGAGGGTCGTGAGTCGTGAAGAGGGGGGGGGGGCGAAGCTACCGCCACCATCGGTGTGCATGCTATCATCACTCGGTGGTCTGCAGAGTCATAAACCTCCTCGGTATAGCTCTCATCTCCATCGAAGCTTTCGGGGAGCTTTCATTGTCCGTCTGTCCCGCACCTCTCGCTCATCACGTCTTCTCGGGGAGATGTGGCTTGCGTCAGGGCGCGTAACTACTGGGTAGGCCGGAGTACTACATGAGGGTATACGGTACGCTCATCAGTTGAATGTATGTCGGTGCACCGTGACATGATTTGCATGCAATAACCATGGTTCGTTATCAAGCCGGTGGTTCGACGTGATGATGGCGTCCGGAATCAACCAACACTCGCGATTGCAATACACACTGCCTGTCATGCATCCCTGCCATCTACCCGCCGCCCCGTGCTCTACCTATTCCCGCGACGATCACGACGAGGCTCCCCGATACAGACCAGGTGGTGGTTGTGGCGTGGCGGGATTACGAGGCCAGGATCGTCCTGAGTTATGACCAGGAGAACAGAGAGCGACAGTCAACCCTTGTGCCTTGCGCGACGGCACGAGTACGAGTACAGAGAAGCAGGAGGGGGGGGGGGATGGACATTAGAAGAAGAAGAAGAGGGGGGACAGTCATCGGATGGGCGGCCACGGGACAAGGTGACGAGAGTTGAGCGGTTGAATGGCTGGGAGGCTTGGAAGGGGGGACAAGGGTCAGAGGGCTGCCGAGGCCAAGATCCCGAGGGGCAGATCGGACTTGGTCGTGGCAAATCTAGACGACCGACAAGACGGGAAGGGGAATCCCTGATGTCTAGGAGAGATTGTGGTCGACTCTTCAAAAAGTCCAATGCCATCATGTCGTTGGGCCGAATCGAGGTGGGACAAGGAAGAGGAGAGGTGCGAACAGGGAAAACAGAGAGACCCACTGTGATGTGCGGGCGGTAATATGGCATCTCTGATTCGTCACGGTGAGGCAAGGATCCATGTCATGACCAGAAAGAGGAGAGAGAGAAAGATTGAATGCGGCATGCATTTGCCGGGGGGGGAGGAGGAGATTCCGTTCGGAAAGGATTGCATGTACATGTATATCTTCTGTACGGAGTATCAATACATGATCCATGCAGGGTGATGACGAGAGAAGATTGATCGATATGAACGATGCACGAGGATACGGTTGATGGATATGTCGACGATACTCTGTGCGGCTAACTGCTGCCAGCATATCAGACATCATCCGCATAGCCGCCCAGAAACCGATCAGACCGTCGGTGAAAGACACGCGTCTCCTCCAGATCGAACATGAAGATGGTAGACCCATGGGGGGGTGGGATGTGCTGCGTGCAGGAGGAAGAGGAGGGGGGTTAGAGGGTCCGGTACCGAAGAACATATTGCAAGCCGGTGCGAGCCCCTTTGTGGGACTCTTGCCAGGAGAGGCGACGCCCTCACGTCCCTCGACGGCTCACGGACGTGTACGACGGTCCCCATCTCGATGATGTTGATGGTGGGATTGCCATCGATCTGGACACAGCTTCCAAACTCATGCTTGTCGCTGGGGAAGAGCTTGGGGGCGGCAGGAGCTGAGCAAGTGGAGGACCTGAGCTACGATGCCCGTCAGTCCCGTATCTCGAGCCTCTCAAAGACCAAGCCGGCGGGCCTGGAGATGGGGCAAGTCAGTAATAGGTCCCCTTATTCATCCTTTCCCTTGCAGGGCGATGGGTATGTTGCTCGAGAATGTCCATGCAGCTGCGTACCATGACCTTATCGTAGCGGGTGTTGACTATAGGCTATGAGAACATTCCTGGACTATGTAACAGATGAAGAAGTGAGTGATGCTGGATCCTGATGGGGGAAGGGTAATTGCAAAGTCCCCTAAACCCCGCTTCCATGCGGATTCAACGATCTGCATGGACGCCTTGCTATGAGTGAGTCTGGTTCGTCCCGGCGGGAGTATACTCCATACACGACTCCATATACTACTTGCCATATCGAGACTTATCAAGAAGGAGTAGTGATTGTCTGACTTTCCCATCTATCTAATGCAAGAAGAATGCCGATACTCTGCGGGTGGATCCCATCAAGATGATCCTCGCAGGAAGCGGCGCAGGGGCACAGCTGGTGAATGATCGGGAGCAGCCAGGGGATAGCATCTCAGAGGACGGCTCGACCATCAACCTCGTGGTTCCCAATCACCATGCCTCGTAATGCTGGTTTCACCCTCGTCTGCCCAGAAGGCGTCTGTTCAGAGGAGAGGGAGACGGAGAGCCAGAAAGGCATACCTCTACCATGCATCCTCCACATCAGAGCTGCATCTTTGCGAGGTCTGAAAGATGGATAGATCTTTGAGCTGGATGGTATGCCCGTCCCGTGAGGGACACTGATCGGGTCCTCCGAGGGGATGGTAGAATAATAGCTTCACGATTCCCCATCATTTCACGGATCGCGATGTGGTCGTCTGGGCCCTTGCGGGCAGAAGCCTTTCTGAGTCGGCTTGTTGATCGGCATATTGAGCATTCTTCTTTGAGAGGTGGCCGTACTTGGGGAGGGGCGTGAACCGGGCGTCTACGTTGACGTATTCGGATCATTCTTTCTCGAGGCGTCGAGCCATGATGTTAATAATGTTTCGTGAGAGGTCCCTGTGCGTTGAATCCTCTCCACATTGACTCGCGACGTCGCCTTTGGATGATCATGTAGACTGTAGGGTACTGGCAGTGAGCGGATGTGGACATAGGTCACGATGCGGATATAGGTCACGATGCGGTGCGGTTTGGAAGCATCCAAGTGGCTTGCAAGGAAAGAGAAGGACAAGAGATTAATTAGAGAATACGGAGGAAGAGAATTGGACGGATGACTGTATGTAAATCCCCAGCTTGGTCACCAGTGTTTGGAGACAACTTGAGAGGCAGCCTTGTCGCCCCGCAAATCCACATAGCCTTGCGTGGTGTAGGAAAGAAAAAAAAAGAAGAAAAAAAAAAAAGATTCACCAACACATGTTCGGTTTCTCTCCCTCTCAACATCATCACGATTCAGCCTCAACACCCGGCATACCGGTCATCTGTCCATAATGGCCACCGACGTCGGCCTCTCTCGCGCAACATTTGCCAAGCTCTCTCCGCACCCGTACCTCCTGGCCAACCTCGACCCGTCGACCGATGACGTGCCTCCCGGCCGAAGCAACGGCCGCACCCCCAACGAGGTGCGCACCCCGACAGTCAACCAGTCCAGCCTCTCCCACGCCCACGGCAGCGCCGTCGTGCGCACGGGTGACACGACCGTCATCTGCGGCGTCAGGGGTGAGACGCTCGTCACCTCTGCCATCCCCAAGTACCGCGCGTCCAACAGGGCCACGGAGCTGCGGGACTACGACCTGATCGTGCCCAACATCGAGCTGGCCACGGGTGCGTCGCCGCAGTTCCTGCCCGGCGGTCCGCCTACCACGCTCGCCCAGACTCTCAGCACGAGGATATACTCGCTCCTTCACAGCTCCAAGCTCATCGACCCAGCCGACCTGCGGATATGGCATACTAGGCCAGCCGAGGAGGCAGAAGCAGCAGCAGCAGCAGCAGCAGCAGCAACAGGGGCAGATGAGATGGAGGAGGATAATGATGATGACGAGGACGATGGCGAGAGTCGGGAGGACGTCGTTGCCTACTGGGTCCTGTACATCGACATCTTCTTCGTGTCGTTTGACGGCAACCCCTTCGACGCCGCCTGGGCCGCCACCCTCGCTGCCCTGCGTGACACTGCCCTGCCCCGCGCCCGCTTCGACCCGGACAGGGAGCTGGTCATCTGCTCCAGGAAGGATCCCAGGCCGCTCGCCATCTCGAGGAACCCCATCGCCTGCACGGCCGTCGTCTTCACTGGCAAGGAGACGGATCGTCCCACCGAGGGTGGCAGGTTCTGGCTACTCGTCGACCCGGACGCGCTCGAGGAGTCGCTCTGCGACGAGTCCCTCACCGTCGTCGTCGACTGCTCCGGTGGCAAGACGGAGATTCTATCCGTTTCCAAGCACGGGGGGACGAACCTGGGCCCAAAACTGCTCGCCTCGGACGAGTTTCTACAGTGGACAGGCCAGCGATGGAAGGGATTTGTAGATGTTATAGGTGGCCAGGCATGATGACTGCGTATGCATAAGTACGAAAATAATTCAATAAAAGAGTAATGATACCCATGATGAGAGAAGACGGAAACTACGAGAAATAGAAAAGAAGAGACAGACATGCAGACATGTGTCAACCATTCGAGCCACCCTTTCAGACGTTATATCTAGGGCAGTAGATACCGGCAGACATGATTCAATCTACCGCTCATGTTTTGAAAACAGACCTTCATCGCAATGCCATAGTCGCCTCCAGATCACTTTCTGGTGGCGCCGTGGGAACATGGCGAGAAAGAATAAGCGGGTGTTTTTTTTATGAAGAGAAAAGAAAAGAACGAGAGAGGGAAAAAAAAAAGAGGCCAGTTAAAGAGGCCCAGGTACAAGCCGGGGGGGGGGGRGGGAAGGATCCAGCGCACAGGCCACAAAGAGCGCTGTAGCTTGTCGTTTTACTGGCCTGGTGGCCTGTAGCTCGACGTGTGGGGCAAGCCCTCCCATCCCCCCTCCCCCCCAAAAAAACTTCATCTTCTCTTCTACAGCCGGTCTCAATCTTTCATTTCTTTCTCCTCTTTCTTCTTCTTCTTCCTCATCCAGCCCACACCCAAAAAATCCATCTTGGGTCACCAATGCACGCATCAGGCGCGCCATGGAGTCCCTCGCAGATACCAAGTGGGATGTAGTGATCAGCGGCACTGGGCTCCAGCAATCCCTTCTTGCCCTGTAAGCTTCTCCGGATTTTCTCTTCACGTCTTCGTCTCTCCTTTCGATTCTCTCGATCCAGGGGGATGATGATGTGTTGACTTTACCTGCCCATGGGGTTGACCCCATCCCTCCGTGGGTAAAGAGATGGAGCACTGTCACTAACCTCGGCCCGCCTGCTCTTGCCCCCCCCCCCGACGTCGTTGAAGAGCCCTGTCGCGATCAGGCAAGAATATTCTGCACATCGATCCCAACGACTTCTACGGCGACGCCGAGGCCGCCTTAGGCCTGCAAGACGTCGACGAATGGGTACCAAAGAACAGTGCTGCCACCCCAGTGCCGGGCAGTGGCTTTGCGGCTGCCGAGGTGGAGAGGATGGATGCTGTCGGGGACTCACCCAGTCTGTCTGCCTCCAGGGCCTACTCCATCGCCCTGGCTCCGCAGCTGATACACACCAAGTCTAAGCTCCTCTCGCAGCTGGTCTCATCGAAGGCCTTTCGTCAGGTCGAGTTCCTGGCTGTTGGCTCCTTCTACATACTTCAGCCGGCCGAGTCGGGCCCGTCGCTGAACCGCGTCCCTTCCACCCGCGAGGACGTATTCTCCAGCACGGCCATTCCGGCTCGCGCCAAGCGGTCGTTGATGAAGTTTCTCAAGTTCGCACTCGACTACGAGTCGGAGACTAACAGCGAGAGCTGGAAGTCTAGGGCCGACGAGCAGCTCGACACCTTCCTCGCCTCCGACTTCAAGCTCGACGACCGTCTGCGGGCCGACATCATGTCCCTCACCCTGACTCCGGACGGGCTAGTGTCGGTGCGAGACGGCCTGGCCGCCATCAATCGTCACATGACCTCGATGGGACTTTTCGGTGGCGGTTTTGCCGCCGTGTACCCAAAGTGGGGTGGGCTGTCCGAGGTAGCTCAAGTGGGCTGCAGGGCAGGCGCTGTTGGTGGTGCAGTTTACATGCTCGGGACGGGCCTTCGGGAAGTGAAGCGGACAGAGGACGGCGCCGAGACACCCTTGACTGTGGCGCTGTCGAATGGCATGACTGTCAATGCTCAGTCCCTCGTACAGTGCCCCCAGGGCGGCGATGCTGGGGGGGGTGGCCTGCATCTGAGAAGGCTGACGGCCATCGTCGGATCCAGCCTGTCGCCTCTCTTCGAGACTGTTGTCGAGGGGGCACCGACGCCGGCCGTAGCCGTCGTTGCTGTCCCTGCTGGCTCTGTCGCTGGCGACAGTGGTGTTACCTCCAGGTATCCCATCTACGCCATGGCGCACTCCAGCGACACTGGGGAGTGCCCATCTGGTCAATGTGAGTCACCACCTATTCTTCCACCTTCCACCCTCTGCCCGAATCCCCCCCCCCTCTGGCGTTGTGATGATTACAAATAACATGAATACTTATCTACATTGTCTGATCACAATGACGATTAAACTCTGACAACCTGACGCGCCATCCCCAATTCTCATTCTGAAGACTAGATTGGACTCGAGAGGAGAAGAGCAACTTGCTGACCTAGTCTTGATTCTTTCATTAGGCGTCATATACCTGAGCACCGTGTCGACACCCGCCTCGAAAGATGTCCTAGATAAGGCTCTGTCATCGCTTCTGGAAGCGGCCGTGCCATCGGGCCAGAAGCCCCCGCCGTGTCTGTACAAGCTCAGCTACGAGCAGACGGCAACGACGGATCGTACCAACGTAGATGACGACGGACCCATTGTCAACATCCCACCTCTTCCCCTGGACTTGTCTTTCAATGACGGTGTCATGGACTGTGTGCAAAAAGCATGGGAGTCTGTCAAGGCCGATGATGATACCCACGTGTCTGAGTACATGAAGTTTGACGATAGGGAGGGTGCAGAGGATAATGACTTTTACGACTAATGAGCGTTGCATCATCTCCAACGGAACAGTATATATATATATATATATATATATATATTATTCCTTGTTCATTCGGACCACCATGAAACTCGTACCTCTTGACTCTTTTTTCTCTTACCTTGAAAGGGATCATACCCGATTTGCACTCTTGTGTAGCCCGCTAGACAGCAGCAGCATGCAGCATCATATATTACTACTGATTCCCGAGATAGCAACGATATCAAACCCTCCACATCTCCGTACTGTATACTCCGTATCTTGTATGATGTTAATCCTTTTTCTGTAGTATGACCCGTGACTCCCGTATAGATATAACCCATTTGTAGAGAGAAGAGGCGCCCAAACGATGCAATATGTCATTCCCGAATACGATTCTGCGAACAATAAACCGCAAGGAAGAAGAAGAAAAAAAAAGAGGCTGGTGGAAGGGTATTATATGCATAAAACGTATAAAGATGAAGAAAAGAAAAAAAGAAGGGGTAGTCGTGTTGGGAGAAGAAGAAAAAAAGGAAGGAACCCCCCCCCAATAGGAAAAAGGGAAACGAAGAGGTGAGAAGAGATGTCAATCCAAGGATACACCGATACGAACATGACCAAAGGGCGTCGAACCGTCCATGACATCCTGTCTCACGGAAATGACATTCCTCGTCGCCAGGGTGAGGACGTGAAGGAACGCCTGGGCGGCGACATGGCGAGTATGAGTTTCCGGATCGGCGATCTTGACAAAGCTGACCCAGCGAGTGTGCGGGTCAGCGGCAGAGCCTACGGAAACAGAAGCAGAAGCAAGCTCCTCCTCTGCCAGCTGTACGAGGTATCCTAGAAATCTCCGTCCCGAGGCGTCCAATCTGTCGTCGTCCTGAGCGTCGGACGATGATGGCGGGAAGCCAGCGCCGGAACCGCCATCGTCGTCGCCGTCGCCATAATCAGACGGCATGCCGACCGGGGCGTCGCTGTACCGCTCTATAGAGAGAAGGGTGGTACGGTCGGGAGGCAGGGGACTCGGGCCTCCGGCCGATGAGGAAGGGTGGTTCCGCGGCTGCCGGTGCTTCCCGGCGCTTCCGCGGACAGAGGACCCCGGGACGGCAGAGGGTGCGCGGCTCCATGGCATGACGGTGGAGGAGTGGCCGTCTTCCAGGGGAACCATGGGGCCGACGCCGATCTCTCCCTGTTCCTCATCATGGTCAAGATGGATGACGTCGTCTTGTCCGCGGCCTAGTTCACCGTCTGCGTTGCCGTCGTTGTCGTGACGGGGTCTGACGTTGCGTCGCTGGGGATCCTACTCCTCGGCGAACGCTTCGTCACGGGGCCGACGACGAGTGACTCCTGTCTCGGCGTCTAGGAGGTTCGCAATCAGGTCTTGGCCTGCAAACATTTCGGCGAGGGGGTGTGTCGTGCCGGCGCCTCCACTGAGCGTGGCGCCGACGTTGGCAATCCCGTTGCCGTACATGAGCGTGTAGGCGTTGCGCCTGGCCTGAGAGGTGAGGGTCTGGCCGCTCCGCGGCGTCAGGGCCTCCATGTTTGCAACGTAGTTCTCAGTCCAGCTACGGAACTCGTCGTGGCGGATGTGGATCTCTGGGTCCATCATGGTGCCGACGTGCCGTCGCCCGCGTCCTCTTCTCCTTCCCCTCCGTTGGAGGGCAGCGGCCGTGGTGACGTCTTCGCCAGAAGAGGAGCTGCTCTGCGGGGCGAGTGGTGGGCTCGAGCGCTGGACGGGGTGGGGTAGGGCATCTGCATCTGGGAGAGGGGATCCGCCCATGATCAGGACGTCGGAGTGGTGGTGACGAAATGGACGGGAAGGCTCGCCTGCGTCACGAAACTGTTCGTGGAAGACGCGGGCTTCGTCGCCGTCGTCGTCGCCGCCGCCGTCGGTACCGGGCAAGGATGGGAGATCTGACTGACGATGATGGTTGTTGTCGCTGCTGTCCAGCACGCCGATCAGGTTGCCGTCACCGTCAATATCGAGACCAAGGCCACCGAGGGGCTCGACGTCGTTATCACCGCCGCAGAGGGCATCTTTATGACGGCTGCCGGCCATGGGCCTGCCACAGGATGGACTGGGTCCCCCGAGATCAGAAGGGAGGCAGTAGCTGGCGTTGGAGGGGGACGTGTCGTCGGGCAGGTCGATGCTGAAGTTGGCGGATATGGAGGCCGAGCTGGGCTGGCTGCTCGTCAGAGGGGTTAACTGGGAGATGATATCCTGGGTCGAAGACTGGCTGCCACGATCAAAGATGGGGTCCTTGGTCAAGTCGAGACTGTGGGGGTCTAGTCGGGGGAGGGAGGACATGATGTCAAAGTTGGGGTCATCTTGAAGGGTGATGTGGTGGCGCCTAGTCATCCTGTCAGCTCACTTTTCTCTCCATGCTCTCTCTTCTCTTTCTCGCCCTCCCGCCTCCACATTCTCCCTCTTTCTTTCCCGTCGTTCTCTCCCCTTTGTCTCTGGTCTGATTCTATAGAATATACAGGGCAGGGGCTGTGTAGAACAGAACAAACTCGCCTTGTCTTGCCGGCGGTGGGGTCGGCCCCGTTCTGGCTCATGGAACGAAAGTAGGAAAGCATCTGGGACTGGACACTCTCTGCGTCGCTGAGGACGTAGTTGCACTGGTGGGAGAAGACACGCGACACGCCGTAGAGCAAATTGCCCTGCAGCCTCAGAGCCAGGGGAGCTCCCGGGTCGATGATCTTCTCGCAGGCCTTGGGGACATTGACACCCTGTATGACTTTTCTGTTGATCTTGCGGGGGCCAGTCTTGCCGACCGTGGCAACTAGCCAGACGGTTGCCACGCCATGCTGGGCATTTGTGAGGACTGCGATGGGGGATGGATTAGCATCTGGTACTGTGACCTGTTTCGGACGGAGGATAGGAAGACATACTCTCGTGACTGTAAAACATGTCGTCGCAACTTCGATAAGGTCCAACGACCAGGGATGGCCAAGATGGACGGTACGACCAAGCCGTTGAAACGTCCGGATGTTGAGGATGATGTATTGGTAGATGAAGGTATCAATGAAAAGGGGACACATTTATCTCAAAGGGAGGATGGGACAAAGGAAACAGGAGAAAAATATTGGAGGGGAAAGGTGAGTTCGGGGCGCACGACATGTCTTGACGCGTATCCATCTTGAACATCTTTCGTGATGGCGAGGCGTGAAGCTGGCAGCTGGCAGCTGGCGGGGAGGTGTTGGGCGGTCCGTCAGTGACTGGGGGTTTGGTCGTCGATGATGTAGTGAGGAGTTCCAGGGGAGCCCTGAGCTCTATTGATGATACTCTCTATAGGCTTTGCTACCGCTTGCTAGTATCGCGATATTGCAGGTAATTCTGGTGATGATACGTATCAGTGTTTAGGTAGTCTATATGCCCGTTATATCCAATAATAATGAAATAATACCTGTATGTGGTCATGCGTGGTGTCATTACCGGGACAGACACTGAATTATCATGGCGATGTCCCGTATTTCTGTCCAGAGGTTTCAGAAAATGATCGACAACAGGGGCACTCGCTCACCTCTTTTTTTCTTCGAACAGCCATCTATACCGTCTTCGTATTCTCTTTACTTGGTAGCAAGAGTACTATCACATGCAGTATCACTCCAGTATAGTTACTCTCTATGATCAACTCTGTCATATAACTCTGCCATAATTACTATGTAATAAGACTCTGTGGCGATAACACAAGCGTACATGTCACCTTTTCTTTTTCCCCATTATTTTACTTTTTGAGAGAGAGAGAGAGAGAGAGAGAGGAGAGAGAGAGAGAGAGAGAGAGAGAGAAAAGACGCTCTTGGAACTTGCCGTTTCTATTGCCTCCTCAAAAAGAGAAGGGAAAAAAAAGGTCGGTATACGAGTCTGGTGGTATTACATACGCATCTGCGGTATCGATACCACTTACTATACGGAGTAGACGAGACACCCTTTTGTCGACTGGGTTTCTTTTTTCTTTTTTCTTTAGAAAAAAATAAATAAACAAAAAGCTGAGCAAGTTTTTATGTAAGCACTTAGTTCTAAATTAAATACCGCTAGCCCCATCTCTCCCATTTTATATTAATTATCTCATCTTTATTTCTTACCTTGATGGACCTGGACCTGGGCTCTGGACCTAAAAAGGCGGCGGGGATCCTCTGATAATATATCATTGTCATAATAATGAGGCTCTCAATACCAGGATCTCCAGGGAAAGGACAGCCATCATCCAACCCTTCCTCATCTCTACCCCGCCTACGTAGCTGCCACCGTCTCTGATCTCGTAATAATACGTGAAATACCTGAACTCGTCCTACCCTCTCTTCTCTCTCTCCTTCATCAGACAGCCCACAGCCCACAGCCCACAGCCCACAGCCCGCAGACCGAGCAAGCAGGCTTGGAACCGCTTACTCTCTACCTTGCTTTGGCTTTCTTTCTCCTCTCTCCTGCCAACCCTTTCTTCTTCTCCCCTCCTCTCTCGTCGGCTTGATTATACCCGACCCCCTGATGACCATGCTCGATCCCCTCCTGTCCAGACGTGGCGGCACGACGGTCGCTAGCATCGACCGTCCGTGGAGGTTTGCCCCGAGAGGAGACTACGACGCCGACACGAACCCCAAGGGCCTTGTTTCCTTTGGGACCGCCGAGAATGTAGGTTGTTACCTCTTTTCATTGATATACCGTCCAATAACCACCAACGGTAACGTGACGTGACTTGATGAATGCCAAGTACCGTACTACCACCACCACCACCACCACCACCACTGCTACTACTACTACTACTACTACTACTACTACTACTACTACTACTACTACTACTACGTTGCACTGTTGATGTACGAATACTCACATGCGAGGAGCAACCCTTAGTTACTCGTCACACCTGACCTTGTCGACTTCATCAATAAGAATGTATGCGTTCGATCCACCATCTAGGCCCAGATGTATATCCCGCCCCCCCCAATCTGATGACATATTCAGGTCCGTTTCAATGGCCAGGAACTCCTCTACCGCGGGAGCTCCCCCGCATCCACCGACTTCCCCGACGCCTTGGCCAACCATCTGAACGAGTACCTGGAGCCGCATTCGCCCATCCGCCCCGACCAGATCGAGTGCTCCGACTCGGCCACGGCCATGCACGACACCCTGGCGTGGGCCCTGGCCAACTCGGGCGACGCCTTCCTGACTAGCCGTCCCGTCTACGGCCGCTTCGAGATTGACTTCTTCAACAAGGCCGGCGTCCGGGTCGAGTACGCCGACACGACGGCCGACGGGTGCTTTGACGAGTCTGTCATTGACAAGTTCGAAGAGACCCTGGCGGACTGCACGAGGCGGGGTGTCAGCATCAAGGCTGTCTTCATCGTCAACCCGCATAATCCTCTGGGTACGTACGCTGGCCGACATGGCATCACCGGTAACTCTCCTGCCTCCCTGCCCCTCCCGCTGGCTGACATTGCTCGGTGAAAAGGCCGTTGCTACCCTCGCGGTACGCTCGTGGCCCTCCTGGACTTCTGCCAGAAGCACAGACTGCACCTGATCAGCGACGAGATCTACGCGTGCTCCGTCTTTGACTCTGGCGAGCCCGACGTGGTGCCCTTTACGTCCATCCTGTCCATCGACGTGGACAGGCACATCGACCCTCGCCTCCTACACGTGACGTACGGGCTGAGCAAGGACTTTGGCGCGGCCGGCCTGCGTCTGGGTGCTGTCATCACGCGGAGCGAGTCGGTGCTCAAGGCGGTGCGGAGCGTGGCCCGGTTCCACAACACGTCGGGCCCCAGCCTCGTCATCGGCACGGCCATGCTCAGGGACGACGAGTGGCGCCGCAACTTTATCCGGGGCAGTCGCGCCAAGATTGCCGCCGCGTACAAGCACGTGTCGGACGGACTGAGGGACATGGGCATCGACTACCTCCCTGGGAGCAACGCGGGCTTCTTCATCTGGATCGACCTGTCGCCGTATCTGTCTCCGCGAGAGCAGTTCCCCGAGTTTGCCCTGGCCGCCAAGCTCAAGGATGCCGGTGTATTTCTACATCCCAAGGAAGAGCACTGCCTGAAGCCGGGGTGGTTCCGTCTCGTGTACACGCAGGACCCTAGGACTATCACGGAAGGTCTAATGAGGTATGTTTCTGATTGCCGTCTCTCTCTCTATCTCTCCATCTCCCTATCTCTCTTTTTTCTTTTCGTTTTTTTTTTCAGCTGTATGGATCTGCTACCCGCGAAATCGTGTCATGTTATGGGCTAATAGTTGTGTGTGTGTGTGTGCGTGTGTGTGTGTGCGCGACAGAATTAAATCGGTCATTTAATCGTAAGAAGGGTGTGTGGAAACGGTACACATGCATGTACAGAAACAACTCGGAATAGAGAAAAAGAAAAGCAAGTATGCTGTGAAGGTTAGACCTATGACGAAAGAAACAATGTTTCCTCTTGCATTTTTCAGAGGCAACGCACCTGTCTTTCTCTCTCCATATTTGCTACCGCCCTCCCGCATGACATGGGCCAAACCTCGCTACTGTGAGGAGGGAGATGCGTAGGTGATGAGGGATCGCAACCGGTCAGGCAGCCAGGCAAGATCATCCATGCAGGGGCCAAGTTGAGAAAGAGAGAGGAAAACAAGGCATGTGACCAAAGGAAGGAAACGGAGGATTGGGAAGGGGGGGGGCGCGGGAAGGAGGGTCGGATAGGTTATGTTCGAAGAAAAAATCAAAAATAAATCAAAATCAAAAATGGAAATTAAAAATAAAAGAAGAAAAGTTTCCGAGAGCTGGTGATGGAGACATTTCACTGGTGCGGGTCACCATAATTGAAGTTCAGATAAGGTGGACCAAGTGTGTATTATATATGTTCAATGCTGGTGGTAATACATTGGCCAGTGAAGAGTAGAGTACTGATGTATATTATTCTTGTGTATTCATGTAATGTATGTTATACGTATGTTGTTAGGAAGACGAGGTGTGAGTGGGGGTGGCGATCAGTAATAAAGAATCGAGATGGAGGTAGGTACTGGAGGAAGATTTCACAAAGGCACGAGAGTGAAGTGACGAGAAAAGAAGGATTACTCTCGTTTCTTTTTCTCTCTCTCTCTCTCTTTTTTTTTTTTTTTTTGTTTCTYTTWTWTTKTTTYTKTTWTWTTKTTTYTKTTWTWTTTKTTTCTCTTATTTTCTATTTCTCCTCCCCCCCCCCCCGGGTTTACCGGTCTACCGCGCTGTGTGGAGTGATGATCCGCACAGGCCGTAAGGGCAGGTAGGAGTCATGAATGAGACTCATTTACTCATAAGCAATATGGGATCCAGCACAGAGTACTAGAAGCACGAGTCCTGGGTATCTATTGATGATGGTCAGTACACTACGGAGTAGATGATATCACTGTTATCAATATTACTGCAATGGACCGGTAGAGACGGAAGTCGTTGCTTATTACGATGGGTGAACGGTAAGAGATGTTCGGTAGAACGGGCATCTGTAAAGAAATCGGTTTGCTCTGCCGTTTCTGGCATGTCATCGTGTCGTTGCTGATGCTTATGCTTCCTGCAGGCTGCATCCAACGCACCAATATGGTGCCGGGATGACGCATGAGATGGAGTAGGTCCGGTGGTCACGGACAGGGACAGGGCCCGTCCCTCTAGTCTAGCTTTTACTCCCGTAGTGTAATCCCGTAGGCTTTATTGATCTGTAGTGTCTGTGTCCATGGGTGTCTTTGCAGAGCAATGTATTATCAGCGTCTACGGGAGTGCCTGGGACTATCAGAGAGTACGAGTACGAGCACAGGTAGCCACGATACTCGTACTAGCAATATTAGTAATACAGGGCAGAGGAGAGGATCTGGTACGGCACTGTATTACCTCTGATACGACTACGAAGGCAGAGTATCCATCATCACATGGTATGTAATACTTTGACATCTCCCCCCCCCCCCCCTCTTTCCCACCATCGCCAACGTCTTTTTGGTGGACAGAGTCCTCGCCACGAGTCGACGAGTCGAACAGATCATTCCGCTTTCGGCATCGACCACTATCAAGACGTATAGTTACAGCATGGCTCATCTGCGCTTCTATACCGTGTCCTGCTGCTAATAGTATTAACCGCCCAATTACACGGATACGTATACTCTGCCCGTATATGGGTGAGTCTCGCGAATGCAAGATTCATTCACCTGCATCATCGTCTGCCTCCTTTTCTTCTTCTCCTTCTTCTCCTTCTTCTCCTAATCCCTTCTTGATCCATGTGCTACGAGCCTACGAGCGTGTATGTACATTTGCCCTCTACCGACGCCAAATCTGCCGCGCGCCCAAACCCGTCCCGGGTCCTGGGCCTTTGATCAACCTCGTCGCACACGTACGGCAAACGGGATTTTGGGGGAAGACGAGGGGATGGGGGACATGTGCGTGTGCGTGCGGGCCTCGGAGGCCAAGAGCCAACCATGAAGTCGTACCGATACCTGTCATCTGTAGCCGTAGTCGTATATATCGGATATGCCGTATCGTGCTGACTACCGCTTGCCCCTCCCTCGGTACGCAGTGTTGCTCCCCGGCAGTATCCGTACTTTGTGCTCCTCCGTTCAACTCCTGTACGGGTAACTGCTGTCTGGGCTCGTGCTTTGCATATCTCTGGAGAAGGCGACCTGTAACATTTCCGTCCAGGGTTCCCASGCGMTGCGCCACCCCCCCCCCCCCCCCCCCCCCCCCCCCCCCTCTACCCGTCGATGATCRCGGACAMAWCTCCGTCCWGKCCAKGATTGYCAATGCGTCCATCGGCTGACCCCTACATAGCAGGCCGCTAACAGCGCGGAGGACATGCTACGAGCGGTACTGCCGGCTCCTACCAGACGGAGTGCTTCAACTTGATCGAGACCCCGGCAATGACAATACATGGCCATGCCCAAGCGGCAGTTTCCCCTTACTCGTAGCACCGTCAAGGTCATGCTGATGCTCCCAACCACCACCACCACCACCACCACCACCCCTGTCCCCTCATCCCTGCCGACGATACATATACATGTTCAGTCCCTCGTCGGTCCAGCAAAGCTGCTGGACCAAGCATCCAGCAACTTCTTTTCAGCTTGGCTGTCTCTTCCCACATATGATCATGATAGGAGGACATGGCCGCACCGCTCGTCATTGCTCGTCATTAGCAGGTCGCTCTTTCCTCAACATCCAGCTCAATCCTCGTCGTACCTGCCTCTTGTAATCTGTACCATCAGTCTGTCGTTTCTTTCTCTTTCTCTCTCCTTCGTCTACCACCACAGGTAGCAGCAATATCACCCTGTATATTGCTGAGTATTACTAAACCCGTACATCTAATCCATATTGCACGTATCCTCTACTACTCTTCTCTCTCCTACGAGCTTCTCTCCCTCAACCACTCATTCTTTCCACACCAGAACCCTCGTCGTAACCACTAGCGTTATCTCTCTTCGATCCCTTCCCCTTCTCTTTGCTCGACATACGGTCACCTTCCA